CCCCCCCCCGCACGCACATCCTTATGTCCCCCCCTCCCCGCATTAAAAAACAAAACAATTTGGAACTTCTTCGCCCCACCAATCTGGAGGCGGCAGGAGGTGAGTCTTCGTGTCCCCCACCTCACCCCACAATCTGCCTCCTGTCAAATCAGGTTTTCCCGCCGACCCCTCCTCCTCCTCGCCGTGCCGCGCCCCCCCACCCCCGCGCCCAGCCCAATCGTCCAACTGTATTTAAAATGTCATTTAACTTGAGAAAGTGTAGCAGAAAATTGCGCATAAAAATGTTGGTTATTTTATCTAAGGTGAGCCATTTGTCTCGCCGCGATAAATCGGCCCCTTCCTTCAATTTGCGGGCTGTTCATTTGGGTGGTGGGAGCTACGGCCAGCCAGCCAGGGAGGCTTGGGGGGGGGCGCGCCGGGAGGGGGGGAAGGAAAAAAAAGGAGAGAAGGGGTGTGTGGAACTCATGTATAATGGATCTGCGTTTGAATGTTGGAGTATCGCTGCTAGCACATTCGTGTCCTTAAGGTGAAATTACTGATTTACTTAAGCAGTTTAGAGGGGGCGTTTTCCCCCCTCCCTCCCCCCTCCCTTTCCTCCCCCTCGGAGGAAAAAAAAAAAGAAAACCCAACCCCGGAGCAGGAGCCTGTGTGATTCTAGACAAACTATCAATCGATCTGGTTCGAGGCAGCCTCTAGGAGATGCGTCCGCCATGAATCACACTTTATGAATTCAATTTCTACCAGGAGAAATTTTCAATTTGAACGCCGGATCATTATGGGGGAGTGTAAATTGTTTTTGCTCTATTATGCATCGGACGCTATCATTTTTCTTTCTAATTACGGAGGTGTCAGGTCGGCCTGTCATGCAGGGGCTGATTTTCAATTTAACTGATCATCATACATTCATTTTCCCATTTGATAAATCTGCTATCTGGACCGCGCTCCATGCCTGGAATATTAAGAGAAGGCTGCCGAAAGCTCCTGTAATGGGGGATGTGTATGCGGCAATAAGCGCGGATCAGTCAGCTAATTTAGCACCTCCTGATTTCCCCGTCTCCATCTCTCATTTCCAATTCTCCAAGGAGAGAGAGGGGGGGGGAGGAGGANAAAATTTAAAATTTTATTTTATTCTCTTGGGTTTCCTTCCCAAAAGAAGCTCCGGGAAGCGGGAGAAGGGAGGGGGGGGGGTTCTTTGCCCGAAGCTGAACTTGACCTGAATGCAAACTGTTTTTTTTTTTTTTAAAAAAAAACCAACCCCTCAACCAACCAGACACAACAGCGACTCCTCAAACCTTGTAAATGGCAAAAAATGTTTAAAGATATTTATATATGTAAAAAAAAAAGAGAAAAAAATAACACACTTTTTTTTGATAAATAAAAATCTGTTTAAAAATCAGATCTGGCATTTTTTTCGTCTTCGCTTAAAAAAAAGAGAAAAATAAGAACCCCCCCCCCTTTTTTTTTTTAAGAAACGGCAATAACCTCCTGGTTAAAGCGGAGAGGGAGAAGGCTAATTTTGGATTGGATTGGAAAGGGTAGTTTCAAAAGGGTTTGTTTAAATAAATAAATAAAAAACCCCTTTCTTTTAAAACCTCGTTTTAACGCTTGTTTCTAGCTATGCCCTCCGACGATTCATTGCTTAACAAATATATTTCGCCAAGGCCTCCCCTTTCCATATTTTTTTTTTGCCAGCCTCGCCGTCACTCCCCCCCTAACCTCCTTTTCTCACCCCCTCCTCCTCCTCCCAGCCCCCCCAGCCCCCACACGAGGTTAGCAGCTTCAGGCTGTAAGGACCAGGCCAGCTCCTGGTGCGTTTTGATATGAAAGTAATTATTTTCCCGTTGGCGGCTGCGGGGATTCGCTTTTCTCGCCCAAAGGGTTATTATACATTACCGATTTCTAGTGATATGAAATCACATAAACTTCCTACAATAATAGAATTAGCATGAAAGGCTGGGGTGTCAAATTGAAATTGGAAAATAATAGCCTCAGTAGCTGAGGGAGGTGGGCGCGCATATTGGAGCGGAGATGGGAAGACGTGGGCCGGAATTTTCATGAGGGGGCTGGCAACGGCCCCCCTCCCGGGCCGAGCTTCCCTCTTTTCTTCTCCCCCCCTCCCTCCCTCCCTCCCCCCCCCTTTGTCAGTCCTCTTGTAGCTGGCTATATTAAGATAGATGTCCAATGATATGTTTCATTGTTCTGTCTCTTATATTGATGTTGCGGCGTTATCAGCCTATTGATCATATGTCGCGCGTAATAGGACAGGCGCCGCAAATGTTCTCCCCCTTTTCTCTCTCTCTCTCTCTCTCTCTCTTTCTCTCTTTATACAAAAGGCGAACGCATTTGTTCTAATAGGGTTGGGGGTCCTCGGGGAACCTTTGGGGGTTGGAAGACAGCTGCACCAAAGATATATTAGCAAACTTGGCTGGGTCTAAAAATAATAATAATACTAATAATAAGAGTTTTTAAAAAAACCAACCTCACCAAAACCTGCCACGCAGCCTTCAACCCAACAACAATCCTTTTAAAAAAATCTATCTCGCCCGCCCCACCCGTCTCTTGAAATTTGCAGGGCGCTTAAAACTCCAACCAATTCCCCTGAAATTGTCTTGCCAATTATTAAAACCATTAATTCTGGTGAGTCTGCGCGCAGTGGAATTATGTTTACAGCCTCGTTAAATATCTCTGATCCCTTCTGGTCATCAGGCCTTTATTTGCAAATAAATTGAAAATAATCAGAAGGACGGGAACGGTTTTTCTCTTTCTTTCTCTCTCTCTCTCTCTCTCTCTTCGCCCACCCCCTCCCCGCGCCCCGTTTTTTTTTTTTCTGTCCTCTCTGTCGAAGCAAATGAATTTCTAAGCCTGAGTCTCTTTAATAATATTTACATAATTTTCGCTCAGTAACTCTGATATTTGCTCTCTAGGAGACCGGGCTTATGTGGGGGGGGGGGAGTGAATAATTAGATCAAAAGCAAGAAAGTTCGAGGGGATGAGAGAGGTAAGGGGGGCGGGGGAAATCCGGCCGAAATGAAAAAAAAAATCCCCAACAAAACCCCTCTTTTGCTTAAAGGGAAATATTATTAAAGA